CAAAACTATGAAATATATGAAAAAAAAAAAAAAGGGACTAAGAAGGTGAGGGCAGAAGGGTAATTTGAGATCATGGGTGGCACTTATGGTGAAATAATTTCCAGTATTTTTATTGTATCTTTTCACCCACTGCCACTGGTTTGGAATCTAGGATAAAAGTTGGTGTCCAAAACCATGGGTAAAATTCACCTGGATTTGGACACACTCACACTTAAAAGTCCATCGGATTCAACTCATGTCAACAAAAAACACATATATTACCGTGTACCGCTATATGGAAAAGATGGATACCAAAATATTTGAATTTGGGACTTCGGAACATATATACCAGAGCTCCAGTTTAATCTTACCATTAGAATTTAGTAAAGACTTATTTTAAGGGATATATCAACTCTTCAAACAAAAATATTATGCGTAGCTCTAAAAACCCATTTGAGTGTATGTTCAGTATAATGGATAAGCTATGATTGTGTTCCATGTTGTCCAATACAACATAGCAAACACACTAAAAGATGTCAACCGGATAAGTCGACCATTCTAAACTGCTAGTGCTGTTTAGCTAATAATATAAAAGAAAGGTAGCTATAGAGCGCTTAATACCGATGACTCTTCCCTGATTGAGAAGCAATGCTTTTTATCCCTTGAACTAGAACAGATACATAAAACTTCACATCTCTACTCATTTTCCATATACAAAAGCGTCCACTGTCTTGGCAACATGGACTTATCAATCAACTACTTGTTTCTCAGCCATGAAGTAAAACCTACATTCTCAAAAAACCTGTCCACACAAACCACTTAAAAAATTTAAAAGAAGAACCCCATAATGTAATAGGGAAATATGAGTGCAACTTTTAGGAAATAAGTACAAAAAGGTTCACAAATTTGTTAAAAATTATTTGATGAATGAACTCCCCCAATAAGAAGCTTTCAAAGCCTGGCTGCTGGTAGCGCTAACTAGTAGATGAGATGAAGGTGAGACAAACGTGCCATCAGTTTAGATGTACATTTCCATAGTCCAAGTTTAGTAGAAACTGTGACTTGTAGATAGCACAATAACATAAATATTTGTACTCTGCAGAATTATTAGATAACAAGGTTGAAAAATGTCACAAACAACTTGTTAGAATCAAAGATAGAAAGAATCCAATTTGAAGCAATTCAAACTTAATTTGGATTTACCACCAAGAACAAATATTAGCAAGCAATAAACCTAAATATTGCAATCTGACAACTAATCTGTACAAAGTTAGTTCAATTTCCATCTAAATTCTTTTCCGTTAACATCAATCCATCGGACAAGACCAAATTCTTGGATTAACAGCTCTATATGACAAAAAATACTTCATTTCCTTTTTCTGGTGGGCTAATAGTGAAGGTGCTTATCAGGAAATTTGCTTTTATGTTTTGTGGACTTCTTGAATTCTACATTATGTAGTTGGGCAACAAAACCTGGCTAATGGTTAAAAAGGTTCTATAAGGTGCAAGATGTGGCAAGGTGACAAAATCAAGCCTCAAGATGTTTCCTTATTTTTAATATCATTTCAATTATTCTAAGATTATTAATAATAATTCCTTTTATTTAATTAGTTTATTTAACTAAGAAAATGAAACAAATAAATAGGGCGCATCTTTGACTCTTGGGACTGCATTAGTCGCGCCTTTTGGTGCTTAGGCCTGCATTATAGGCAGTCAAAAAAGGGTTAAATAACCACCATTTTCACACCTTTCCTTCCATATGCAGGTCACCTTTTCACGCCTCATGCTTATGCCCACCTAGGCCCTGCCTTTTCCCGTCTTTTATAACACTGGTTAAGAGATAAAACACAACAATTAACTTGATTCAGAAACTTCTTGATTTAGTGTTAATCAGGCCTCTAATCCAAGCTTTAGGATGTTCATGCTTGGCTTGATATCACAAAAGAGCAAACAAATTGTTCATTTTTGAAGCAAAGTCTAATCAAACTATTGTCAAGCCAAAATCCAAATCAAGGTTGATTGACATTACACTTACAACTTAACAAGCCGGGCTCGATCAGAATCCAAAATTTTTTACAAGCTAATAAGTATGCATTCAAGACTGTCCCTCCCAAGTCTCAAGACAATCTTCAACAAGATATAGAGAGTCAGCACAAACTGATACCTTGCCGCTTGAGCCTATATACAACTGTAGACACTCTGGGATAACATAATAGAATAGGTGTTCCCCTCTTACATGATTTCCATGACTGATTCAATCACATGACATTGGATACTATCAATTTCCCATTAATTTACCTACATGTCTTCATCTGACTATATTTACCACTAGATCTCAACGTAGGATTGCACCCTAACAAACAGGTTTTCAGTTTCATTGTTGACGAAAAAGAAAGCATTGGTCATCCGCATAAATTGTGTTTCCAGTTTAGAAACTGATTGAATGCCCGTGTGCAGTTTTAACTATATACTAAATTTAACTTCAACAAAACACAGCATCACTAATCGGCAATCATTTATGTCAGAATCATCCCACTTTTGCCCCCATTTCAGAGCAGACAGCAGATATAATTTGCCCCATTTTACATGTACACGCTGCAACAGCGTTGCTGTCTCTTTTCACTCCACAATGTCAGCTGATCCGCTTCATATTCACCATAGAGGAAGCACAAGATTTGCGACTTACTCATCTTCTTAAAACTTCATCAATCCCACCCACTTCCCAAAACACTCAATTTGACTGAAGTCAACTCAATAAAGCTTCTTCTCACGCTTGTTTGCGTAAGTGACATGGATCTGCTGTCTGGACCACTTCCGTAACGTAATAAAATGCTAACCCTTTTTCATTTATCAAAGTTCACGTATTTTGTATAAAAAAACCTCCTCTACACTAACCCCCTTGTTTCTCCCAATGAGTGCATCTAACAGCCTTGGTGATTGACCAAACCGTCTTAATAAGTTCTCCATCAAACAGTTGCCAATTACAATAATAATGTTGTATAGCACAACTAGTGTTATAACATGAGTATAGGTGGTGTTATGTGATAGACTCAATAAAAAGTGGAATTAAGTGACTCGTTTAATTGCACTTCTAATTTAGAGCATGTCTGACAACCATTAATTTTGATTGCCTGCTACATAATCATTTCTAATTACAAAATAAAACATTCTACACATATAACAAAAGTTTCTTCCTCTTCTTTAACCACACATTCTTCTAAAAATCACTATTCAAAACTTTTTTTCTACAATAATAGTTGTCAAACAGGTTTTTAATGTAGCATTAGTGCCACCTAGAGTGGTATTTTAATATCAGTGGTGATAAATAGCATTACTCTATGTAAAAACTACATTCATTTTTAACCAGTTTTAATTCTACAGAGCATGTTCAAGAGGCTTAGGCTACCCCATTAGTCAACTACTTATAGGAACCAATCAAACCAAATCATATAATTTTGATCAACAAGTACTGATGTGCGAAATTCAAGATATCACTAGTTCAGCGCGCTCCTAGGATGTTACATAACATCCGGTACTCCCATTGTTGTTCCACCCATTCATCAACAGTATGAGCAAGACTTACAATCTATAGCTATTTTCGGGTCAACAACAGCAGAGGTAAGAAAAGCAAACAAGCCAGTAGAAAAACACAAGTGATGTGCTAACAATCAGGTTATCAGGTATGCATCAAATTCAGTTAAATAAATGCCCTTGAAAAAGAAGCTAATTTAGTAACAATAATGCAGTTACAATATAGTGATGAAAGTTTGTGTGGGCAAGAAAAGGCATAATGATGGGATGGCTAACTCAAGTTCTTTATATGTCAATTCATCACTTGGCTTGTTGGGCCCAAATAATGCATGCTTTACATACATATTTAAGCCACCATTAAGTTCATCCCATTTCTTAAATGACGATATACATCACTCTTATAGCACAACAATAAAAGGAGGAATACATGCAACATGCACATTTCCTCTTCTATCTACAGGTAAAAACAGCAGTAATAACCTAATACTCCCTCTATCTCACATACACAGTATGGGGTTCAGTTTTTATCTATTCCAAAATACATGTTCAAGTATTGATTCCTTTATTTTCCTGCCACCATCTTAGTTGAATGTATCAGAGGAGAAAGTAACAGGGTGGAGAGTCATGCACAATAACCTCATCTATTTTTCTATATCAATTAGCTAGCTTCCTGGGTCTAACTTTGATACATAAGTATTAGAGATCATTACTCTGATGTCCTAAATTTAGAACCACTCAAGCATATAATTCATCGCCACATACAAAAGTTTTAAAGTTGAATTGATTATTGGACTTCTGATTTGTTGTAATTTACAAATTACGGGGGACACCGGAACCTAAGTAGAGTCAGCATATGATTCAATATGGTACTTCCAAGATATTTCAAATTTGACAGTGTTTACTTATGCTGACAAGTAACTGCAGAGTTTTTTCTTAAAAAATAAAGAAACATAAGATGAGCTGTACTTCATCTCTTATAGCAGTACGCTTAAGCCATTTGAATAAACCTAAAACAATATAGCTGCAAATAATCACTAACGAGAACTAAATCACTGCCAAGCAGTGTTAACACTTCGAACGCCTGTGAACACCCAAAGAAGTTTCAATTAGAGAGAAGTTGGTTACACAATTAATTTTCTTCACATGTTGGTTCAGCCATGTATTAAAGTATATGTAGAGATAGTCCATTAAGCACCAAAACGAAAATATTTTAAGCATAGGTATATACAAATACTTAACACCAAATTAGCGTCTACTAAAAGCATTGACAAGACAGGGAAATTCTAAATTGAAAATTATAATCTTATACAGGTTTTTACTCCTGTGAATTGTAACATCTATCACTTCAATCTAACATACTCATGGTAAAAAATACATATGATACACTCATATGAGCAGTTAAAAACTAAGATAGATAGAAAACACATACATTTTTGCAAAAATCAAAGTCGACGACAGGTTTAGAAGCCATATGCCTTCTACTACTATAATCACTTGGAAACCAAAAGGATCTCAGGCTTCTTAGCCTTACTTGGCGTATTTGCATTGGACCCAGGGGCACTGGCTGTTGCTGCCGCTGCTGCGGCCTTCACTGCTGCATCACGCTCCCTATTGTCCAGCTGAATTAAACTCCTGGTCGCCAAAATTGCCTGCGGTACCAGATCATGTGAAGCTCTAGCATACAGCCGCCGCAATGCCACTGATGCTGCATCCTTCACCTCCACTACATTCAGAGGACCCAACAAACAGTGGCCCAAAATTCTTAAAACTGGCTGCAGCAACTCCCATGGAAGCGGAATTCTAGCATCCCGGCTTGCATCCTTGGAATTATCATCCTCAAAATCCAAATCCTTGACCCTTTCCACCACGTTTTCAATCTCATTGAAATTAACCCTCTGATCTTCCTCAAACCCATTATTGTTCTCAAACCCGTGATTATTTTCCACAAAATTTTCAGGTTTTTTGTCAAAATCTGACGTACATGGGCAATCCTGACCGGCCCAGTCAGCTGTGAATTTACAAAAATCAAGCTTTGACCAACTGGGCATCTGCGAGATCTGCTTATAATAACAATCCAGAGCAACTCCAACAATGCAGGCGCGTTTAGTTGATTTCACTGCGATCTGTGGTTCTAAAGGCGGCGATAAAACCCCAAGCAAAGGCTTAACCTGAGAATTGGAAGAATTAGGGTTCGATTTAATAGGATTCCGAGGGGAGTGATAGAGTGAAGGCTGAGACAGATCCGGGATCGAAATAGTTAAGGGTTTGCCATTGCGTGCTTTGGTTTCGGAGGAATAGAGGGCCAAGAGCACGGCTTCAAAACCGGCCAGAGATACGGCGGTTGAAGAGATGGGGTGGTGAATGCGGTGAAGGTAAAGGGACGTAAGAAGGGGAAGAAAGGAGAGAACGACAAGACGGAGATCTGGATCAGAAGAAAGGAAAGTATCATAAAGCCACTGGCAGAGGAGGTCAGCGCCGGAGCCGGAGGAAGGGAAAGAAAGGGCGGCGGAAATGGAGAAATAGGCGTCAGAGGAGAGGAGGAGAGAGCGGGCAGGGCGATCGGTGTCAGCGAGAGATGAGAGGGAGAGAGAAGACTCTTCATCAGTGGGGAGGAGAGAGGATAGGATGTGGATGCGGGTACGGGCTTTGGAAATGGATTCCCACCAGGAGTGCATGGGGTCTGAGGTGGGGGAGGGGGAGGAGTAGGGATGTCCATTTTGGTGGTGAGGGGTGGAAGAGTTAGGGTGGTGGTGGTGGTCGGAGGAGGAAGTGGAGGAGGAAGGGGAGCCACGGGGGAGGTTAAAGTCCATGGCAGCGGCGTAACGGTGGAGCGAGGTCCGAGGAGATTAGTGGAGGGTGGTCCTCCTCTCGGATTATCTCGTCGCTGAGAGGGCCGTACAGTGGACTTACTTTCTCAGTGCTGATTATAAGTGATAATTTAATTCCTTTTTTGCCCCCGTCGGTTTCCGTATGTCGTGTTCATGATAAGAGCTCTGCTACAGGAACCGCGGGTATGATCACGCCGGTGACTGCACACACACATGGGGGGTTGAGTGGGACCTGTGCCATGGCTGTGAGGGCGGGATCATCCATGCGGGTCGTCTTGCATTTTTCTTATGATAAAAACAGCATCACCAAGTTAAAATCGAGATGCACTATATGTACAGACAAAAAAAACCAGAATTTATACAGGTACACACATAGGGATGGGTCCCATTTTTTTTAAAACAATATTTAACTCACATGGGATGGGGCCCATATGAGTATTCTGTATAAATTCTGGTAAATGATTTTCTGTACCTTCAGAAGATTTCATTAAAATCAAATCAAATTGATCGGTTGATTCGGTTCGATAATAAAAAATTAAAGATTTTTATTTTTAGAATCGAGCCACCATTTGTTGTAGATTAAAATCAGATTTTTAGTAGATTTTGATAATAAATGGTAAAATGTGTGGTTGAAAAGTTATGGACCTCATAAAATGTATTGTTAAAATTAAGGATCTTGCTTGATGCACATAATTTTTATACATAAGTGTATGGACACTCTTATGTACACTTTTTCATGTACACCAAGCATAATTCTAAAATTAATTATTAACTTTGATTTAAGATTAAAATCAAATTTTAATCAGAAACAAACAGGTACCGAGAATCATTTGATTCTAGCTCTGATTCTATAATCGAGAAATAACTCAATTTTATTATTATTTTTTTTCTTTTTACAAATCAGTCAATCACGTCAAAATCATTCAAACTTGAAAATTTCTAGTGTGAAGTGAACAAAAAGGTACCATTATATTTTAGGAAAATTCCCTGAGTACCCAGAAAATTGACAGGATGCTACTGTGGCAGCATCCTGTCGGTCTGTGTTTTTATATATTTTCCCAAACTTTGCATCTGCGCCGTCCATTTCAAAATTCTGTAAGCTTTTTCTGTACCTATAGACTAACTCTATATTTTATCTTATCACATAGCAGACAAAGCATTCAAGCCCTAAATCTAAATTCTAATTCATTTTTTCTCCTTTTCCATTTTAGACACGCATTCGCACTCCTCCACTAAAGGGTCGGTCAAAAATCAATTTAAACCGACCGATCCAATTCGAATTGACTGGTTTGGATTGATTTTTAAGCTCAATTGAGTTGGATTGGTTATGGTTAGAAAATCAAATTTGAGGTCGAGTTGGATTGGATCTTGGGTTATGAAATAAAACTCAATTCAACGCAACCTAGCACGACCCAACCCGATGAATAAAAAAAAAATTAATATCTAAAATGAAAAAAATCTAAATAGACACAATAGTAGAGACAAGATAAATATTTAGAATGTACAAACATCCCATTTTTTCACATAGGTTAATTGGTATGAATGTTATGTACAAATGCAAAATAATTTAACAACAAGCTAAAAATTAAAGGCGTGATAATGAAATGAATAAATTCCAAAAAAATTATAAAAAGAATATACTTCATAGTTTCAAACTTATTTATACATTAATTTTCAAAAAGAATTCCTCATACATGTTAAAAATAACGGAGGTTTTCAAATGGTTTCAAACTTAAAAAAATTGTTCAAATTCAACAAAAAATAATCGAATCTAATTTGAATTTGGCCAAAGCCCTAACCGACCAACCCAACTCAAACTTGATTGATTTGGGTTGGATTGGGTTTAAACTAATAATTGTGTTGGATTTTAGATCGAAGGGCCATGTTGTGTTAGATTTGGGTTTTGGGTTGGATAAAAACCAATCCAACCCATGCTCAGCCCTAGCTATTATTATATTGCTCAATGTTTAATGTTTATTTTTTTGATTTAGGTATATGTTATTAACATATGGATATACTGATAGATTTTAATTTACATCTATCATTTGAAAATTTAAGTAATAAAACCATAAACAAATCAAGCTAAACCAAACCAGAAACAAAATGGTTCAGTTCCGGTTTGATTCCACATTTAAAAAAAAAAAATCACTAGTTTTATTATAAAAATGAGCGTTTTTTGTAACGACTCGGGTCTCTATACCCAAATCGTTAGCTTGCGTACTATCCACTTTGGGTGGACATATGCCCACTTATCCCTCACGACTTTCTAACGCATTCCCCAGGATTCGATCCCAAGACCTCCATCATATGAGAGATTTAAGTTGAATCCTGATATTAATTGAGCAACGTCTCCCAAAATTCGAACCCAAGACCTCAATTATCTTATATGATAGAGGTCTTGAATTCGAATCTTGGGGGACGCGTCAGAAAGCCGTGAGGGGTAAGATGGGCCTAGGCTCTCCCAAAGCGGATAGTACGTACGATATGATAACGGCTGTGGCGCAAGGTCGGGTCGTTACAACATCCCATCCCACCACCATTGCCACCATGACCACCACTGCCTTCAAACCAAAAAAAGAATATCGAATGATTTCAGTAATTGATCAGCTAATCACCAGTGAACTCACGAGAAAATGAGTTCTTATTTCAAGAAAACTCCACAAAATCCCCGTGCCACATACAATCTGGAGCTAATTTGGGGCAGCGTAGCACTTACCAGAGAAAAAATGGAGGAAATAACCTCGATCTACAGCGCCCCATGATCTGCGATGGCGGTGATGTTCTCACCGGCACAACGACGCCAGCAGTCTCGCACAACGCTACTATCACATCAGCGTCGCAGGTGGAGACGGGAGGGAGAGGAGTGGAGGGAGAACGCCGACAATCGGCAGTCGTTGGATGGAGATGGAGGGAGTGGCTGAGAAGGTGAGGTGACGAGAATGATAAATTAGGGTGGAGACGAGATTGATAAATTAGGTTTTTAATATAGTACCTGAATTTTGCAAAAATAAACTTCAAATCTGAGTTTTAAAAAGGTATACCTGACTTTTAAAAAGGTCGAACTAAACCCCCTGTTTTATGTAATTTTCCCTTAAAATTTAGCATACAGGCATAAATTAGTCAATCCATGGTTAGTATAGTTAAAAGTTAGATTCTTAACGATTTTGATGAAAATTGATAAAAAGATTCTTAACGATTTTGATGAAAATTGATAAAATATAAGATTAAAAAATGAATAAAAATTGTGAATGTTATGAAATTTGTGATTGAAAATAAGGGTAAAGAAAATAAATTTTATATTGAAGGTCAAATGTTGGCCTACCTAATAGCTAATTTGAACTAAGATATGAATTGGGCAAAATAATTTTCCCAATAATTTCAGTTGGGGTGTGTGTCACTGTGCTTGCTTCGGTCTCTCCGCCGCCTCTTTCTCGCACTGCCCTCCCAACTTTCTACCAGCAGTTAATAGATAAAACAAGCCCAACTCCCTCTCCCTCGTTATTCTCGCCCCATCTCCCCCTTATAGCATTCGTTCGTTCGTTCGTTCGTTCATCACTACCCCACTTTTCTTCCCCAAAAGACACATACTTTACATATACCATCAAGATTCAAAATGGCATCCACAACTCTCGCCCAATCGCTCTCCATTCTCAATTCGCACACCTCCACCTCCAAGAAAAGCATTGAGAATGCGACGCTGTTTTCCTTTTCCCCGAATCAAACCCTTAATTTTTCCAGATCCCGTATTGTTTCCACCCAATTTAAGAAGACCCACAAATTGTTTATTGCTGACTGTGTTTCCACTGGCAATGATATCCCCTGTGCTGAAACCCCAATTGAACTGAGTACGTATCTGAGAATTGCATGTTGTGAATTTTTAATTTTATTTTTACCCTCCGATGTTAGAAGATTTACTGTTTTATTTTATTTTAATTTCTTAGAGTACCCGGCATTTCCTACGGTAATGGACATTGAGAAGATTCGCAGAATTTTGCCTCACCGGTCAGTGGAATTCATTCATTCCTGATTCTCTCGTTATTTTAGTGATTTACTTGTTCTTGTTTATGCGGTTGCTTGATAATTTGATGTGTTTGTGATGTTTTCATGCATTCATTTTCTCTTGTACCCTTTTAATGTTTTGTTAATATAATTGATTTTGATTTCTGTTTGTTTTTGCTTTGGGTTGTAGATTTCCATTTTTGCTGGTAGATAGAGTTGTTGAGTACAATCATGGGGTGTCCGCTGTGGCAATAAAGAACGTGACTATAAATGATAATTTCTTTCATTGTTGAGTACAATCCTGGGGTGTCTGCTGTGGCTATAAAGAACGTGACTATAAATGATAATTTCTTTCCCGGGCATTTTCCTGAGAGGCCAATTATGCCAGGCGTTCTCATGGTCGAGGTAAATAATTTAAATTAGGGAAAATTGCAATCACGGTACCAAACCTTTAATTTGGCAGTAGACTTTGCCAAAACCTTTCGTTTGTGTCACCCACGGTATCAAACCTTTCAAAATGTCGCAACTGAAATCCAAATGGAAGGAAAGTATTAGTCTGACCGTTAGTTGACCAAAGAATTAATATTGACCATAATTTTGACTAATTCTAAAATGATAAAATTGTAACTTTACATTTTTCAACAAAAAACACAGTTATAATCTATGAATAATTAAATAAATAAATAAAAAAAACACTATTCATCTTCTTCTCCAATAACCCCTCAAAATGGAACAATCAAAGTACATTTATGTAGTAAATTCGAACATAATTGAAAATAAAATATAAATTGACATAACAAAAAAAGATTCGTGTAATAAAGTTTTAATGTGTTAATTATAGAATTTTTTTTATTATGTATACAAGACTTCAATCTTGTGAAGAGAGTGCATTCTTACTTTTATGGTATGCTTGGAATGTACATCACGTGAAATGTCCAGGACATAGTTCAAAATTTATGCGACCACGAGTTCATTATATGCATGGACATAGTTAAAAATTTATGTGACCTAAAATAGATGTTTACTACTGTTGTTGTTGATGATGTCGGAAAGTTAATATAATGACTTTTGTTTCCCAACCAAAAAGCTAAAAGTACTTGTTATATGTTTATAATTTATACTCCATGTTGAAACTAAATATTTTTGTCTAGGTTGGCCTCATTCTTGATTGCACACAAGTTACCTCGCATTATTTAAAAAGTCAAAGCACTATCCTATTGATGAAGAGTTAGTCTCTACATCCATGTCAGGAAAAAATTCCGCTTTGATGCTATTGCTTAGGAATTGAATTCTTTGGGGGAAAGATAAACAATTTTGCTGATACTAACAAAAACTTATATAAATGACAGAAATGAAAGAATGAGAATAGCGAAAAAGTAATGGCAAGAAATTAGGATACACAAGGTTTACATGATTCGAAAATTGACCTAGCCCTTAGGTCCATGGAGGGGGAGACTTGAGTATTTCATCATCAAAGTACGGTGATTAAGATAAAGTATTTTTTAAAGCTCACAATTTTGACTTTTGCACAATTTGCTTTCTGATATAGATTTTGGAGCCATACCTCAAAAGCTAGCCGTTGAAATTTGAGAGCCGAAATCTATATAAACCACGCACTGAAAGTCCATATTTTCGATGCGGGATTCAAGTCTCATACCTTGCAATGGAACCATGACAATCCACCACGCTCTACGGTACCCGCGCTCATGTCTGACTAGCCTTGCACTAGCTCATAATTAGCCCATGTTTGGTTTGGATTAA